CCATACATTATCTTCTCTTAGTACAGCCTTCAGACTATTGACATTCCTTCACCATCTCTGGATCAAATTCCTGGAATTCCCTCCCAAACAACACAATGGGTGTCCCTACACCCCAAAGACTTCAGTAGTTCAAGAAGGCAGCTCACCATCACCTTCTCCAGAGCCATTAGGAATGGACAATAAATGCTGACCCAGCCCTAAAATGAAATATAAGTCACCAACTCCTTAGAGTGGATAACTGCCATTGGCTGAGGTGGTGCGCAACCTCATCCATCCACATTTTGTTTCATTTGATTTTAAAGAATGGTGGCTTTGGACCATCGTCAAAATGTTCTCAAAATGCTTTGTGAAAGTTTGTGGATGGCAAGTTTAATGCAAACCAATCAGAACATGACCGTTCCTTCCACTCGGGCACCAGTATCTCAAGATGAAGTTAGATGCGGACAATCTCCTTGCCCAACATCCCAGAGCAGTCTCATCGCAGAGGCTAATGCACTTCTTATTGGTTCCAAGGTTTTTGTATCCGCTAACCTCCGAGAAATCCATTGATGACATTTGACACTAGTCTTCAACTTGCCTCACCCCTTCAATGTTATTTGTCCAATATTTCCTTCCAAGCTGTGAAAATACTCCATCTACATCCTCATTTTTCCAACAATGGGGAGTTTCAAAAGATCTGAGGAAGATTTGTTTTCTCTCCCGGAACCTGATTTGATGTCATTTTGATAAAAGCAAAATCCTGCAGATGCTGGAAATCTGAAACAAACACAGATAATGCTGGAGAGACTCAGCAGGTCTGGAAGCATCTACAGAGAGAGAGAGAAAAACAGAGTTAACATTTCAAGTCCTGTATGATATCTCTTCACAATCCCGAAGAAGAGTCATATCAGACTCGAAATGTTAACTCTGTTTCTCTCTCCACACATCGTGCCAAACCTGCTGAGTTTCTCCAGCATCATCTGTGTTTTCAGATATTATTTAGCTTTGAATGAAATTCCATTAAATATTCCATCCCTGGTTTGATACCAGCACACACAGGAGAGCATTAATATTATTCAGTCCAGCTCTGCTGTTGGGTTAAATGGAAGCTGAAACAACAGACAATCATGCTTTCCCCAGTAATCCATCGCCCATTACTGGACTCTTTCTTGTTGGCACTCCTGTTTACTATGTTCGTATTACATCAATAGACTAGGAGGACAAAGGTTGACAGCAAAGATCTCAAAGTGACCAGGGGATGAGTGGTTGGATAGCAGAGCGAGGCGGAAGGTCCCTTGACATCCATTAATCCATTGCTCTATCCTGGTACCCAGCACTGAAATGGATAATAATGCTACTTCTGCTAAGATCCACCATGCTCAAGGATTGTGCTCAAAATAAACAAAGGGATTGTCAGACCAAGCATTCCCACACAACTCCTATCAGTTCCAGTTTCCCAATATTATCAAGAAACCTCACTCAGACAGTGTGAGGAACCCAGTGAGGATCTCTTTCTCTGTCCTTGTGATAAACTATGTCTATTTCCATCCACATTTTCTCAAGTCTGTTCACTCTAAGCAATTGTTTTGCTAAGACACCCATTAACTGGTTAACTGTTTCCCACACCCAAAGTATAAATGGGACAGGAAAATTATGGAAAGTAACCAAGAAACTCAGTAAAAAACAGACACAAGAACCAAACAGGAGGAAAGAATATCAAAAACAATGAGGGATATATATTGTCCAATATGTATGGGCAAAGTTTTTTTAAATTTCTGATTTATCTACTTTGACAACAGAATTAACGTTAACCAATACTTTTTTGGAAGGCTGAGACCTGTGGTACCTATTACACAGGAAGAACTGGAATAAATCCAATGTCTAGTGTGAACAGGCACATAAAGGCTAAAGGAATGTTCGTCTTTAGCTCAAAGCAGTCATAGTATAAAGTGAGGTGACATTTCAATCATACAGAACCTTGGTCTCACATAATCTGCAGTAACTATGTTTAGTTCCAATCACTACATCAAGGAAGGACATACAGGTTTTGGAGAAGTGCAAAGAGATAACACAGCTGAAAAGACTGAAATATTTAGGACAAGTTGCATAAACTTGGTTGTGTTCTCTTGGGTTCAGAAGATTAAGAAGCACTGTCATCAAGGTCTCTAAAGGATTTAAGAGGATGGATAGAGGAAACCATTTCCTCCAATGGGGCATCAAGGACAAGGGGACAGAAACAGACCAGTGCACCTCAGGACTGAAATCATGAAACATTTCTCCATGTAAGGGTAGTGGGGATCTGGAACATTCTTCCCATAATGCCGAGGGTCAATTAAACCTGCCAAGACTGAGAACAATATATTCTGCGATGGAAGGGAATCGAAGGATATGAAGTAAAGGTGGTCAGGTTGAATTACAGGTACAAATCAACCACAATCTAATTGTGTGGCAGACCAAGAACAGAGGGCTGAATGGCCTCTTCTCATGGCCATTCTGATGATGTAGCTTTGCGCCTAAAGTGTGAGTGGAAGTTATGCCAATGTACTGGGCGCTTTCAACACACGCACCAAGGTATTACAGGGATTTTAGAGTAGATTTGTAGTTTGGGTTGTGGATGTTGTCGTTGGTTGGCTTGCCAAGCTGGTTTGTTGTTTTTCCGCAGACATTTCATTACCCTGCTGGGTACCAGCTCGGCGAGCCAACCAACCACAGTATTGCAGAGAGTTCAATAACTGGGAGCATTTTATATAAACATTTTTTATTCCTTCATGGGATGTGGGCGTTGCTGGCTGGCCAGCAATTATTGCCCATCCCTAATTGCCATTGAGAAGGTAGTGATGAGCTACCTGCGTTAACTGCTGTAGTCCAAGTGCTGTAGGTTGACCCACAATGCCCTTTGGGAGGGAATTCCAGGATTCTGACTCAGCAACAGTGAAGGAACTTTGATATATTTCCAAGTCAGGATGGTGAGTGGCTTAGAAGCAAACTTGCAGGTGTTTACTTTCCCATGTATCTGCTGCCCTTGTCCTTTTAGTTGGAAGTGGTCATGAGTTTGGAAAGTGCTGTCTGAGGATCTTTGGTTAATTTCTGCAGTGCATCTTGTAGATAGTACACACTGCTGTTACTGAGCGTCGGTGGTGGAGGGAGTGGATGCTTGTGGATTCGGGGCCAATCAAGCGGGCTGCTTTGTCCTGGATGGTGTCGAGCTTCTTAGTGTTGTTGGAGCTGCACCCGTCCAGGCAAGTGGGGAGTATTCCATCACACTCCTGACTTGTACCTTGTAAATGGTGGACAGGCTTTTGGGAGTCAGGAGGTGAGTTACTCACTGCTGTATTCCTAGCCTCTGACCTGCTCTTGTAGCCACTGTGTTTATGTGGTGAGTCCAGTTGAGTCTCAGGTCAAGATAACCTCCAGGATGTTGATACAGGAGGATTCAGTGATGCTAACACCATTCAATGTCAAGGGGCAGTGCACAGATTCTCTCTTATTGAAGATAGTCACTGCCTGGCATTTGTGTGGCATGAATGTAACTTGCCACTTGTCAGCTCAAGCCTGGATATGGTCCAGATTTTGTTGCATTTGAAAACGGACTGCTTCAGTATCTGAGGAGTCACAAATTGTGTGGAGTGTTGTGCAATCATTGGTGAACATCTCCACTTCTGACCTTACGATGGATGGAAGGTCCAATCATAAGGTCTAACGACATTAGAGGCACGTTGAGGATGAGATTTTGCACCCAGAGGGCTGTAATGATCTGGAACTCACTACCCAAAGAATTGATTGAAGCAGAAATCATATTTAAAGAAAGTTTGGACTATCTCTTGACTGTTGAAATTGACAGAGCAACAGACTAAAAGCTGGGAGGTGGGATAAGATGTGGGGGCTTATTTCTGTCCAAATAGTCATGATGGGCTGAATGGCTTTCTGCTCCATAAATCTTTCTCCGCTTCTACCCTCTTTTGCTACATTTTTCTCTCAGTTATGTGTGTTGACCAGAAAATGAGGTTTCTGGTGAGTAAGAGACAAATGATTTCTCTGGCTGTTGTCCCAATCTACATGCAGAGAATCATGCTTCAGTCTATAAGTGGACCTTCCCAAAGTGAACCCATATAAATGCTGTTGAAACTGGAAATCTCTCAGAGATGTCCCTGATAGCACTGCCTCCCAGTAGGAATTATTCCTGTGCTTTTAGGAGCAGCGGTCACTCTCACTGGCTAGTTAGTTTAACCTAGTTAGCTGAACACAAATTTACAGCCTGTAAAATAGGCTGGAAGTCTGAAGCAAAAGACAGAATAATGGATAAACTCAGCAGGTCTGGCAGTATCCGTTGAGATAGAAACAGAGTTAACATTTTGCGTCCAGAATGGCACTTCTTTAGAATGTTACACTACAAGCTTAAATAGACTTGCCCATTTAATCATATTCCTGGTTTAGCTAAACATGTCCCTGCAACAGACAACATTTCTCAAGATCTTTCCAATGGCACATGACAAAGGAAAATCTTGGGTTCTGAAACAGTGACTTGAGGAGAGATATCCCGGTGTGGTTTAACTAGTTATTGACTGAAGCTGATGTGCAGGAGAGCCAATTGTTCTCGAGGGGCACAACCAAATCAAAAGGAAGGAGTTCAAGAGGATAGTAAGACCCTGGTGTAAAAGGCAACATGCGGCACAAGTCTGGTGCTACACAGCTGGTGTAAATCCCTGTATGAATTGAATTACATGCAGCAAGGTAGATGAAGTTGCATGCCATAGCGTCTCCGAGCTTGATATGATGGTGCTGAGGATCAGGGAAGGGAGAGGTAGGCAGTACATGTGAGCAGGGCAGTCAGGAATGAAGTCATGTCCGTAACTGTGATGTCTCAGACTGATGGCCCAACTCTCCCGCGCAATCAGTGCACAATTCATCCCCTCCCCTCCCCATTCTGTAATCGGGTTACCTTACAAACTGTGTGTACCCGCTACTGTTTTTATAGGCACGTCACATGTCTTTAAGCACTGATGCTAAAATCGGTGCAATCTTCAAGCCTTTGGTGGGGTTTTGAGGTCGGTTTTGGAACCATAATGTCCACGCTCAGTGTTGGCACAGGAGTTTACCAGGCACTCCTTCCTAGAGAGACCACAGCAAGCACCATGAGTAGAAGCACCTACCCACTGGTGATACACAGTTAACACTTCGCTTACACAGGGACACAGGAAACGCAAATGCAACCAGTTAAAACACTTTGGTTCTGAATTTCCTCGGAGCTGTCGTAACTGTGCCTTAGCCTGGTCGTAGCTTCACCTGAATGCTGGTAGGAAGGGATGCTTTCCCCAATCTTACAGGAAAGGTACAGCAATGCAGATGAAACAGCTCCCAGGAAATTCTGAGCCATTTTCAAGACAAAAGGGATTGCATTTTAATAACGTCTTTCAGGATGTCCCACCGTGCTTTACATTCACTGAAATACTTCTAAAGTTAAGTTGCTGTTGTGATGTAGGAAAGATGGCAACACCTTCTGTGCGCAGAAAGCTCTCCCTGGTTACAATGATGATACAATCTTTTTTGTTGCGTACTGTTGACTGAGAGATAAACGTTGACCAGAAATCTCCAAAGAACACCCCTGCTCTTCTTCAAAATGGTGTCAGGGGATTTTTTGGGACCTACCCGCGAGGTGGACAGGACACTGGATTAACACCTCATCCAGAAGACAGTTGCAATGACAACACAGCACTCCCTCAGTACAGGTGTTGTGCTCAGGTCCCTGGAGCAAGACTTGAGCATATGCCCTCTCAGGTGTGTGTGCTGTCCAATGAGGCATGGGATAGAGGGAGGTTCAAGCAGAACAAAAAGAATGACAATGGAATAAATTTACAACAGGGATGGAACCACGACTGAGGTATTGGGTGAGGGAGGAGGTCAAAATTCAGATTGGCGTGACTTTGGCACAGGAAGATCCCATCATCCAATGAACTATGGTTGTTTTTGTCAGACACAAAATGGTGTCCAATCAGTAAGCAAGTAAATTATTTACCACAGTATTAGACAAGCCTTAACATTCAAAGAGCATGATCAAAGTGATTGGGGGAAAGGATGGGGATGAGGATGTGGGGTGGAGTGGGGGTACGAAAGGAGGTGGGGGAGCACAGCAGAGGGTAAGAAAGATTGCACCAGAACTAACTCTAACCCTATCACAGGAGCAGCAAATCCAAGACTGACCCATTAATCTCAACAGACAAGGAACATGTCAACGAGTAATCAGAGCAAGGACTTTGTTCACAAGTCACAAATCCCTAATGATGTACTGGAACAAACAACTTAAATACAACAATTGAGATGCTGCCTGATCAGGTAAAGCTTTTATGCCTGGATTCTAAAATAATATGGCTCTCTATCTCAACAGGAAGTGTACAATCAATTCTCATTATTCTGTTTGATGGGTAAATCCTTGCTAAGTATGGACTATAATTCAACATTGAAATAAATTGTGTCACATTAGATAGACGCTTCTATTAAAAAGCCTAAACCTCAGACATGAGTAATGTCTATAGTGATCATATGAAGAAACTTATTATTCTTACTTGCATAGAATTAGTGAAGCATCCAACAATAAAAATTGCAGATTGTTCAGTCCTTGATATCTCTTAAGTAATCAGAGTTAAATTCTCTCTCTACATAGAATGATAGGATGGATGGAAGCTTTTCGGCACATCACACCTGTGTTATTGCTAATTTTTACTGACTGAACTACAGTTGAATGTTACTTTTTAATCAATATAATGCAGAGCTACGACGATTAAATCATAGGCACAAACTAGTGTGTGGTGCGAGGTATATTGGAGCTTGTTACAGTTAATCAGCTAGTTCATCTTCTCATCCTACAAACTGATAGCTGCAAACTTTTGCTTTAAGATGCATTTTTAAAAATAATATAATGTTCCGCATATTTGCATCTTACTTACTTCTTCTTTCCAACTCGCTTAATTATAAACATTACAAGCTTTTTAATAATAAATATTAGAATGATGAATCCTATCAACCCTCCGATTACAGACAGGATGATCACTGTCACTGTGTTGTCCACTTCTACCACTGTAATACAAAGGGAAAGTTTTTCAAATTAGTACAATGAAAATCACCAGTTAGACTCATCACAAAAGAACTAATATAAAGTGGGATACAGCGAATATACATGAGGGAACAATGGGGTACAAGCAGAAATATAGAGATACGCACAGGGATATAGAGAAACAGGTGAACAGTGGATATACAAAATGAAGGGTTATCAACAGATAGGGGAAATATTATTCCTCAACATCTGGTTTTATCAAAGTTAAAAAAGCAAAAATCTGAAACAGAAACCCAGTTTTTGTTTCAGCAGAGGTAGGACAGCCAATCCATTTGCAGGAGGCAGGCTGGTTGTTCACGTATTTTCACAAGGCTGAGTGTGTTCACTTTGAATATTTTTCCTGAAATAACTCCCCAAAGGCCAGTATCCTGTCACCAAGTCACATTTTATTTACACGTGGAGAGTCCTTGATACTGATCCAGCTAGCTCAGAGCAGGTTCCTATAATGAACAGAACCTTTGACACTCCTGTTTATATGTGTTAGCCAGGGCTCCCTGATTGGACCAGATTAACAGCCCCAAACAGGGAACTCATATTCTATGAGGTCCACCTGGCTGACCTCGTTATAAGCACTACAATTCCATTGCCAAGCTTCAGGTAATTCAGCAGGTGAAAAGAGAAGAGCCATGTAAATGAGTTAAGGAACAACCCACTCCCGACACGGTGGTAGTGTCCCTACCCCGGGACCCGGAGGCCGAGGTTCAAGTCTCACTTGCTCCATAAAATCTCTGAACAGGTTGATTAGAAAAAAATAGGATAAATTAGTTAAGTGGCCTTATAGCACTGCTCGCGGGTCGTAAGGAACAGCAATCCTTCCACCAGGTTGAAAAAATAGTAGGGAATCACAGACCCGTCACTCATGCCCTCCCACTGATTGGACCTACCTGCTCTAAGGTCAGCTCCAGCCTTGTGCTGTCTGTCTTCCTGTCTGATAGGCAGGGAGAAACCTGTAAGTCTCAGCTTCCTGTTTCTACTCCACTCCACACTTTGAAGGATAAGTTTGAGGACAGGAAAAGAGAGGGATAAGACACACAAAGGAGGGGATAGAGTTACACAAGAGGACAGAGAGACATAGGGAATAGAAATATAAATGGAGACAAAGATAAGCAAGGAGATAAAGAGAGAGAGGGAGAGAGAGAGACACCCTGATGGGTTTAGAGATATAAAGAAGGAGGTGGAAATACACCAGCAGGAATAGAGAAGCACACAAAGACAATTAAAGACACAGGTGTATAAAGAGACAAGAATGAATACAGGCACGCAGGCAAACAGAGAGATTTGGACTTTGGAATATTGTGGCTATGCAGTGGGAAACAAAATTTTCACAAGTAACCTGTATCTCTAAATGAATCCCTATTTGTAAATGTGTAACATTGTTAGATCTAATCAAAGCCGCTTGATAAAGTGGTATTTTAGAAATGTTGTCACTCTGTATAAAACTAGCTTAGCACTGTGAGACCTCACCATTTGTTTCTGAACACAGTTTAATGAGATAGTTAAGAAGCATAAACCAGAAATGGACAGATGTATTTATGTGTAGATGTTTTGGTGGGGGGGTGGTTTTTGGATGGTTCAGATGGAGTCCAGTTAATCATTCACATATGAATACAAATGATCCAGAAGTGGCCTCGTGAGGCAAACAGAATTTCACCCCATTGCATATTTACATAGATGTTTGGACCAAGGAGCCCCAGTGCAGTTAGTCACAGCAGGAACAATTACAGCTTGAAGTGTCACATGTTAAAACACAGGAGGGAGGAGCCCAAGGAGATCAGGTGGAACATTAAGGTTAATGAGCAGCTGAGTAAATTCTCATGGGAGGTCACTGAAGGAGTTAAACTATGAAGGTCAATTGTTACAGATATTGGATGCCATTACAATCTCCCACCATAATAAAGTGTGGGTTGAGCATAAAGCTACAAAATTATGGTGCTGATTCTTTATTTGCATCCCAAGTTTTCTCGTAAGCACCAGAAACTCCGTGGTGTGTCTCAGGAGAAGGAACGGAATGAGAGGAATTGCATAGAGATTTAAAGCTCAAAAACAAGCAATTCAATCCACAGCACAGCCTTCTCCCACACTGCTTCAACTTCCTGGTCATCGTAATCTTCTGCCCATTTTGCTCACCCACTTACTCATCTGGCTTCCCAATAAGTGTATCATATTGACCAACTGGTGGTGAGCTCCACTCCCTGGGAAAAGACGTTTCTCTGGAAATCACCTCAGAGCCAATGGTGACCCTCACATTTATAAGCCACCAACACTGTGAAGGACTTTCTCTAGCTCAGTTGGCTGGATGCATGGATTATGATGCAGGTTGATACCAACAGTGTGGGTTCAATGCCCACATTGGCTGAGGTTATCCTGCCTTCTCAACCTTGCCCCTGGCCTGAGGTGTAGTGACCCTCAGGTTAAACCACCACCAATTGTCTCTCTCTAATGAGAAAGTGGGACTATGGTGACTTTATAAGTACGCTTGATGCAAGGACAAATGAGCAAGTGTGGTTATTGCCAAGCATCCATTCTGGTAGCTCCAACAAGCCAGAAATTTTAATTGTAAATCTTGCATTGCAAAGTATCACGAGAGAAAAAACAGAACACTCACATTCACTGACAACGCTTAGTTCAAGAGACGCATTAGCCTCTTGATTCATTTCCTGTGGGTTTTTGAAGTAACAAGTATAAAATCCATTGTCCTCAAAATCCACGTCAGCAAGCAAAAGGGAAATATTCTTCTCTTTAATATTCCCAATAAATGTAACTCTGTCATACTCCTCAGATGGAAAGATTTGGGGTCTCTTATCTTTCAGTTTAATATGAATAATCTGTGCAAGTAAAAAATAAATCAGAATTAGAAAAAAATTTTTGAGCGAAGAATGTTTTATTTCCCACCATTCACCTGCCACCACACCCAATCCTAATGACTAAAGTTGTTTGCAAACTCAGGATTTCCCAAAGCATTTTGAAGCCAATTAAATGTGCTTCTGAACTAGTAATCGCTGCTGTTACGTCAGAAATACAGCAAGCTCCACCAATCAGCAAGGTGGTAACAATGAGATAACATGCTTTGGTGATGTTTGTTGAGATTTGGCCATAGGACATAAGAAATAACTCCCATTTTACTTTGGTGTAACATCTCACATCACAGCAATGATGGGGTGGTGCAGTGGTTAGCCAGGGGCCTGGGCTTGATTCCACCCTTGGGTGACTGTCTGTCTGCATGGATTTCCTCCAGGTGCTCCAGTTTCCTCCCACAGTCCAAAGATGTGCAGGTTGGTTGATTGGCCATGCTAAATTGTCTGTAGTGTGCAGGTCAGGTGGGTTAGCCATGGGAAATGCAGGGTTACGGGGATAGGGTGGGTCTGGGTGGGATGTTCTCTGGAGGGTCAGTGGAGACTCAATGGGCTGAATGGCCTGCTTCCACACTGTAAGGATTCTATTCTATGTGGAAATTCCCTGTTTTTCTCTGCTTTTTCTGTTAAAGGCTTTGGATTGCACTTGAGGGGGCTGTGGGCAGAAAAGGCCACACTCACTGCCCACACAATTCACAGGATGAAGGGTGGTGGGGTGTTCTCCTTCTGTTTCTAACAATTTAAGCCCTTATCACTTTTTCACATTCAGGCCTCTCTATGGCCCTTGTTGAGGTGCCTTCATGGTTTATTAGCCTGCCTCAGCAATGCCTAACTCTCTCTGAGGTGCAGTTGAGGCTACACAGCTGGTGCAACTCTCATTGAACTGGTGGCACTGAAAGCCCATAAATACGAAGGCAACCACAGAGGCACTCAATCAGGAAGTCTACCCCAAGGGAGTCGGTTTTGGTGCAGGTTAAGGACAGGCTTGAAGGTCTCCATTCGACAACCCGCCACACCTCCACCTGGCAGAGGGAAACATGAGAGAACATTTCTGACCTGGGAAAATCCTGGTCTTTGTTGTTCTTTGCCCACGGACAAATCCTCAGTGAAGGGACGACCTCACTCAGTGACACTCACGAGGCTATTTGACTGCTGAGGTAAAGATAATCTAGTCCCTACCCAACACCCATCAAAAGGGACAGGAGTGGGGAGGAGTAAAAGGGAAGGTGAGATCTTCAGTGAATTTTGAACAGATTGTCAGAAGCAATGGCTTTGTATTAAAAAAGAACAAACTGATTTTCAAATGTTCAAATAAAAGTAAGGAGGGTTAACCAGATTGTTAACCAAATTGTAGAGAGAATGTTCAACATTCTTTGAGTTTTTAAAAACAAATTTACTGTAATGTGGTTACAATGCCATTAAATAAAATTGCTCCTAAATTAAAACCAATCCTTTCAGGAGTGATGTTATGAAATACCTCTTCACACTATGAAGTTCAGAATTTTATTTCCACAAATGGCAACTGATGCTTGATGAATTGCTAATTTTGACTATGAGATTGATAAATCTTTAGCTGAGTTATCGAGGAATTTAGGGGAAAGGCAAGTATATGGAGTTATGTCACAGAGAAGCCCTAATCCCACTGACTGATGCAACAAGCTCGGAGAGCTAGAACAGAAGTTGCTGGAAAAGCTCAGCAGGTCTGGCACCATCTGTGAAGAAAAAATCAGAGTTAATGTTTCGGGTCCGGTGACCCTTCCTCAAAACTAAGGGAGGGTCACCAGACCCAAAACGTTAACTCTGATTTTTTCTTCACAGATGCTGCCAGGCCTGCTGAGCTTTTCCAGTAACTTCTGTTTTTGTTCCGGATTTACAGCATCCGCAGTTCTTTCATTCTCAGAGAACTAAATGGCTTCCTCCTATCTTTGACTAGATTTATTTCTCTAATATTGATGTCTGTTTCAACTGAACTTGCTTATCTCAATTCAGATCTAAGCCTGTTGAAGAAACAGAAAAGACACAGTTTTCTTGTGGATAAAGTTTATTGACTACTCAGTCACATAACTCATGCCACACCCAGTACTCCCTGTTCTATCCTTTATAATTGCGTTGTCACTTAATTATTCAATTAACCACAGCCAGCATCTTAACTCTTGCTAGAAAGGCACACAAAATACAATTAGTCAGTGCATAGGCATCAATGGGCTAGAGTGTGCAGTGGGCTCTGAATTAGCTAGCAACTGAGATGAATCTCACCTCCCTATTTCCACCAAGTTCAATCCCTCCTAATCACCTCCAAAACTGGCAAATGTGCTTTCCTCAGGTTGTTTATTGTGTTGAAGAACCAGATAAAAGGCCCAGGATCACGTAGGCCAGGGAACAATTACCCGAGGTGGAATGGGGTCAGTCATAAGGGTGGTAATAGCACAAGCCAACCCCAGGCTTGAATTTCACCACAGCAGATGAAGAAATTTGGATTCAATAAAATTTGGAATAAACAGTTAGCCTAATGGTGATGATGTAACCATTATCGTAAAAACCCTTCTGGTTGACTATTGTCCTTGAGGGAAGGAAATTTGCCACTCTGACCTACATGTGACTCCATACCCATAGCAATGTAGTTGACTCTTAACTGCCCTCTAGGCAATTGGGGATGGAAAATAACTGCTGGCCTAGCAAGCAATGCCCAAATCCCATAAATGTTCTTTTCTTTAATAAGAGGTGGAGGAGTGAAATGAATCAGAAGTAAAGACTCAGTAACACCAAGCAGCAGATTTAAGAAAGGGAGATGCGGGAGGCAGTAAGGAGATCCATAAAATACGTTTGAGGAGTGGTCTTGATTTGAATACAGTGAGGATATGGAGGGAAGGAGAGCAGGGTAGGAGTAGGAGTCCAAAAGGCAGACTTGCAAATGAGATATGTGACACAGAGTTTGGGTCATGCAGTGTGGACCCCTCAACATGAGACTGAGGATATTGCTAAGAGCATCACCTCCAAGAAATACCCACTAGAATTTGAGGATAGAGGCACATTTCTTGGTGGAGAATGGGAGTTGCTGGGGAGTGAAAAGGGAACACGAATTTGCATGGCTCACTTTTGTTTCTTCACTTGTTTTGTTTTTCCGGAATGTCCACCAGAAGTCGGAGTTTTTGAAGTCCATGCAACTAGAGAAGGTACAGGGCAACTCGACATCAGAGCCATTCAGTACCACAATCGTTGGCAATTTTCCAGTGTGAACTTCTATAGCTTCATTATTTTGAAATACAACAAAACCTGCCGAGAAAGATAGTAGGTTAAAAAAAATACATGATCCTTCATTAAGAGTTCAGATTTCTCTCGCTCTTTATATTCTCGCTGCTATCTAAAGGGGTCCATGCCCTCACTGGGGGTTCCACAGCAGCCAGACTGGTGATTCTCCCAATCTTACCATTCCTCACAGGCATGCTCAGTGACTGTTAGGAGGACTCATGGAAATTGCAGAAATTGAGGAGAATGGGATCATCCATCCGAGGTAAATCACTGACTTCCAGATGTATCCAAACTGTGAAATCAGGGGATCTCTTCAACACCATGACAAATGGCAATCCAAAATGACTTTATTTGACCTGCAAATACATATTGTGTCAATAGGTTTTGGATCTTCATTTATGTCTATGTTACCTGGAAGACATAGCTACTCTATTATTCTACTGGCCAGCCTCATATGTTGGCAAACTCATGATTATCCAAAGCTGTTATTCCATAATTCACACTAAATCCCAACCAACCATCACCTGTACATTCACTGATATACAATAGGTCCTAGTCCTGCCATGGCTCACTTATCCCTGTCTCTGGAATCTTCTCCAACCCCAAAACCCTCTGACATCTGTTCCTGTGTGTTCAGGGTAAGGATTACTCACTATATAACTGTACAGGGTTCCTGTGTATTCAGGGTAAGGGTTACCCAGTGTGTAACTGTACGCTCACTAGTTATCAAAAACAAAGTCACACCCACATTGCTAAAGAAGCTTTAAATGATCAAGTGTGCTTCACAGCTAATTTGGTACATTTGAAATGTGATCATTGTTGTAATGTAGAAAATGGAGAGATCTACTTGCACACAGCAAGTTCACACAAGCAGTGGTGTTTATTGACCAGTTTTACTTACATATCTACCTGAAAAAGTAAAGGCTTCAGATACCTGGAAAGCAGCACTTTTGACAGTGTAGCACTCTCTCACTCCTGTACTGGGAGTATCAACCGGGATTTTTGCAGTCAGGTTCTGGAGTGAGATTATGAACCTGCAGCCTTCTGAATTTGAGGCAACAGTGCTACCCACAGAACCATAGTGCACAGCATTATCTGCTTGCAAATAAACAGGATTATTGTTGAGCTCAATTGCTGGCATATTTCTGAAACTGACTTATTTATTTCTGAGGATCAGACTGGACTTAGATTTGTTTGCATATACCCAATGCTCATTTATAGCATAGGGATCTGAAGGAGTCCCGATCGAGGGTATAAAACAGAAAAGCGTTTGATGATTTGACTCTCATTTAACTCCCATGTGTTACATTTGCCTAAACTGAAAACATGGATTACTAGACAGTACACAAAAAAGTTCCTAATGGCATTAGATTAAGAGATCAGAGACAAAAGAGTTGTGAAAATCTGAACCTCTCTCCCAAAATACTGCTGAATTTAGAGGAGAATTTTAAAACTGAGGTTGATAGCTCTTTTTAAGTCAACGGTTGCATCATCAAGGCAGGTAAATGGATTATGTTATCCATCAGGAATGATCTGACTGAATGCAGGAACAGTTTCTAGGGGCTGAATGGCCTCTTCCCCTGTTTTTTATGTTCCTTCTTAGAAGTAGAAATACCAATTGTCAGTCCCTGATCATCTGAGAATAGCTCCCCCTCCCCACATCTGCCCATGGGTGGTTTATAGGTCAGTCTCACCTTTATTCATTTTTATAGATTTCTGTCAGCTCCAACAATAAATTCACTGCCATTATGCCCATGGAAATTGCTGACAAAGCCAAAATTCCCACTTTTCTCTTGCTAATTTATTGCTTCCCTGCCAATTGAACCATTTTCACTGAGAGGGTCGTGTCTATTGCTATATTTAAGGCATTTCTTACACAGTGAAAGAAAGAAGGCATTTGCATTTGTACCTATGGTCATACAGCAATCCAAAATGCCTTACTAACAATGAAATACTCTTCTAAAATGTAGTCACTGTTATAATGTAGGAAACAGCAGCCATTTGTGCACAGAAAGATCCCACAACCCTTACATGATGATGACCAGATAGCTCTGTGTTTTATTTCATAATATGGCTGAGAAATAAGTACTAGCCAAGCATTCAGGTAAATTCTTTTGCTCTTTTCTTAGAAGGTAAAGGTAAAGTTACCATAGTCCCAGAGGACCTTCAGGCTGTTCTCTCATTAGAGAGAGATAACTGGCGGTTAGTTTAACCCGATGATCACCATGACCCAGGTGAAAGGTGAGGTTGAGAAGGCAGGTCCTTCATGGTAGCCTCAAGTAATGCAGGAATGTAATAATATTGTGGGAATGACATGGCCATTCTCATGGGATCATACTTTACAATGTCCCAGAATTCACCATCACCAGCCATAGGTATGTCCTGTCTCACTGATAGGACAGATCCATCAGAAATGCTGGTACAATGGTACACTGTTGGGCAGGAGTTGAGCTGGGAGTCATCAGACTCCATAAAGTCTCACGGTAACAAGGAAACCTTGTGCTGATTATGACCTACTAACTTCCCTCAGTTGATGAATCAGTTTTCTTTCATGTTGAGCACCACTTGGAGGACACACTAAGGATAACAAGAGCACATAATATATTCTGCGTGGAGGGTTCAAAGTCCATCCCAGAGAGTGAAATGGTAGCACCACAACTGACCAACCCAGCTGAGTTCTAAAGGATATAGCCTCTAGACTGGCACTGTGACTTGTGGTATGGGAACCAACACAACAGAAATACCCACTTGACCTTGTCCTCACCAATCTTACCTATGACTGTACCTGTAACAACGACTACTGTACAGTCCTTATGAAGACAAAGTCCAGTCTTCACCTTGACAATACTATCTATCAAGTTATGCGCATCATTACTGTGCTGAATTATAGAATCCCTACAGTGTGTAAACAGGCCCTTCGGCCCAACAAGCCCACACCGACTCTCGGAGCATCCCACCCAGACCCATTCCCCCATAACCCACCTAATCTACACATCCCTGAACGCTACGGGCAATTTAGCATGGCCAATCCACCTAACCTGCACATCTTTGGACTGTGGGAGGAAACCGGAGCACCCGGAGGAAACCCAAACAGGCACAGGGAGAATGTAGAAACTCCACACAGTCGCCCGAGGGTAGAATCAAACCTGGGTCCCTGGTGCTATGAAGCAGCAGTGCTAACCACTGAGCCACCGTGCCACCCCTAAACATTACGCGGATTGCTGGATTAATTATCTAGCAGCAATACCACTACGCTGAGAGGGCAAGATTTTGAAAAGATCTAGTAACTCAACATTGTGCATCCATGAGGCGCTGTAGGCCATCAGCAGCAGAACTACTCTCAACCAGTCATTAATCTCATGGCCCTGTACATCCATCGCTGTACCACTGCCATCAAGCCAGGGCATCAAACCTGGTACAATGAAGAGTACAGAAGGGCATGTCCTACAGAACGGCATGAGAGATCCCTGTAGATTAGTGTGAAAGAAAAGGCTGAACCATTTGCAAACGCATTCAACCAGAAATGATGACTGAATGTTCCATCTCGGTTTCTTCCTGAGATCCCCAGCAATACAGATGCCAGTCTTCAGCCAATTCAATTCAGTCCACATGATATCGAGGAATGTTTGAAAGCATTGGATATTGCAAAGACCTTGGGCTCTGGGACCATTCCAGGAATAGTACTGAGCACATTTGGTGCCAGAACTAGCTACATCCTTATTTGAGCTGTTCCAGCACAACTACAACACTAGCATCTACGCCTATACGTGAAAACTTCCTGGATATGCCTTGACCAAAACAAGCAGGCCTAATCCAACCTGGCTAATTAGTCTACTCTTAATAAACACAAATACTATCTAGTGGTCCTTACTTAACAGTAACTATTCCCTGAAGACTCACTCAGATCCTGTCATCACGACGGTTTTAGTCCAAACGTGGACTAAAGAGCTAAACTCAAGAGAGGATGTATGCCTTTGACATCAAGGTGAAACTGGAGTCAGTGGGAATTAGGAGAAAGACTCTTTGCTGATTGGAGTCATACTTAGCACAAAGGAAGATGGTTGTGGTTGCTGGTTGTCAATCATCTCAGCTCCAGAAATCACTCAAGGAGTTCTTCAAGACAGTGGCCTAGACCCAACTATCTTCAGCTGCTTTGTCTCTCTGCCTTCTCTCCTCTATAAGGATATTCACTGATGATTGCACAATGTTCAGCACAATTACAATGCCTCAGATCTGAAGTAGTTTATACCTAAATGCCGCAAGACCTGAACAACATCCAGGCTTGAGTTGATGAGTGACAAATAACATTCACACCACATAAGAGCCAGGAAACAATCGTCTCCAACAAGAGAAAATCCAATCATTGTCCTTTCATATTTAATGGCTTTACCATCATTGTCAACATTCTGAAGGTTTGCAGTGACCAGAAATTGAATTGTACCAGCAATGCAAATCCTATGGCTATAACAGAATGTCACAGGGTAAGCATTCTACTGCAAGTAACTCACCTACTGTCTTCTCAAAGCCTGTCCACCATCTACAAGAAACGAGTCAAGAGTTTAATGGAATATTCCCCACTTGCCTGGATGAGTGCATCTCCAACAACAAGAAGATTAACACTGAACAGGGCAAAACAACTTGCTTGATCATTCCCCTACTCACAACCTTCAAAAGTCACTCCCACAACCACTGACAGAGTGGCAGCCATGGACAACGAGCACAGCAGATACATGGAAACACCATCCCCTGCACATTCCCCTCCAAGCCACTCACCATCCTGACTTGGAAATATAATGCTGTTCCTTTACAGTCGCTGGGTCAAAATCCTGGAATTCCATTGTGGGCATATGTATACCCTAAGGACAGCAGCGTTTTATGAAGGTGACAGTGGGGTAATTAGGGATAGGCAATAAATATCTGGTCAACAACACACATCCTCTTAATGAATAAACAAAAGGTATCATTTCTGTCCATCTAAGAGGGCCAGTAGAGTTTTGAAATATCTCATTGGGTAGAGATAATGA